GAGAGTCTTGAAATATTTAAAAATAGAGATAATCCGGCCCCATTCCCTTTTTTCCCCTCTACTCGTTAGTTGAGGGTAGGGAAAGTGAAAGTCGGAAAATTAGTATATAAGGCATTACCATTGTTAAATTAGTTAGTTTTATTCTCACCTGAGGATGACCACTTTGTGGTCGAAACGCGTTGTGCTATTAAAATAAAAGTTTGGTGTGACGGGCTAATCGTGTTTTTGTTCATCGTTTCCATACCAAGAAGATCCAAGAAGAAGAAGAATCAAATTTTTTTGACAGATAGAATTTTTTAAACATTTTTTCAGTATTCTAGAGGACTACCCAATTACTCCCTTTCAAGGAAGTGCGCGATTTTTTGAACATCCTGTATCTTGAAACCGGTAAACGTTACAAAAAATGGTTATACATATACTAAATTAAATAAGTATTCCTACAAAAAAAAAACTTTTCGGTTTTTTGTATCACAGTTTTCAACGTATCCGCTAGCAAATATATTTCGCACTCTTAAAAAAACATTTTTTGTCTCACTGTGCATGATGGTACCCCAAGTTTAGAGTAAAGTAATTGTGATGGAATGTTTGTTGTAGATTGCAAATTGTACTGTAGGCTTCTGGAGCTTATAGAAAACAGTTTTATTACCTCCCTCCAAGAAAGTAAGAAAATGTTCACCAGATTGTTTGCAAGCACATAAAATGGGTAAAACACTGTCATTCCTAATTCTAAATATGTTTAAGATTTTATTTTCCAATCAAGTGAAGTGCCTACAACAACCATCACAATTCACTCACAATAGGGCCCGCAGAGTGCATAAAGGGCACACATTCTATTTTCATTAAAAATAGAAATTATTATAATGAGTGAATTCAAACATAAATTAACTAAATTAACCAGTTTAAAAGGTCCAGTCACAATGTTTACAACTTTCTTATGTTAATTCATTGAATTATTTTTTTTCTAAAGTTCGATATCTGGTAGTAAATATCTCGAAAACTATTTGAGATACAAAAAATCCGAGAACTTTGTCATAACATTTTTTTCGTAACACGCAAAGGCACAAAACGGCATCTTTTGGTGCCCCTTGAGCCTCGCTTACCTCGGAGGACCAGGGGCTTTTAATTTGTTTACCTCGTAACTAACCCAGATTCAGTCCTTAAGTCAAAAATTCTGTTCTCGACCAAGCATTCTACAATTTGTTGACTCGGCTAATAATTTAGATAAACATCATTCTATCCGGAAAACATATAGGAAATAAAAATAATTTCATGTTATTATAAAGAAAATGGCGATATCTTTAAAAATGAATTAACGTAATATGGTTGCGGTCAGTACCTAATTAGAAAAGTGTATAATAACATAAAAAATCGACGTGAAGTCTGTAACATGCATAAATAAATTTAAAATTACACGCAACCTCAAAGGTTAATGATACTCCCTGTGTTCTAATCAATTTTTAAAATTATTACCAACAAAATCAGATTTTGTCCAGTAATTAGGTACTTATTTTTTAAGATATTGAAAACTTGATGAAACGAAATTTTAATTGCAAAATTCTAAGAAATATACACATAAATAACAGAATAAAATTAAAATATCTATTTTAAGATCTTAAGCAGGAAAAAAATGTCTTGTCATTGAATGGTGATATCTAAACTTATCCTTGTCTTAGTTAGAATCCAAAACAGCTGATCCATTAAACTACACTATACAAAATCTCTATTAATACACTGATGCCTGTTGTCTTTTACATTACCATATACAAGAACTACACTTTTCCAATAGTATCATAGAAAATGGCATTTTAAAAAAAAATATTTTTTTTTCCCATTTTAAATTTTCTAAAGTTTCAAAAAGACAGTGTTTTTAACTTAAATTTCAAATATGGTTTAAGAAATTTTAACTTTTCAAAACATTTCAGCTTTTTGTTCTGGTTGTTACTTTTATACGCGGATAAATAATACATACCGGGTGAATAAAAAGTATGAAACCAAGCGTTTTCTGCACAAACTAATGACATACTTAAAAAAAAAGTAATTAATGCACTGTAAAGTACTATAAATATGGGATTGTTCTTCAAGAATAATTTTTTTTGAAATTCCTTTTAGTAGAGTTTAACAAAAAAAAAATTTAATGGCAACCTACTATGACAATTTTTTTAATTAAAGACTACGAGCTAAAAATAAACTCTAATTAAATAAAATAGTTTCTTATCAAGTGGTTTTTTTTTTAATTAAATTGTTAAAGTTGGAGACCACGATTTTTGTACAGGTACTTATAGGAGTGGTTCCGGATGGATGAAAAAATCCAATAAAAACTCACTTTCTTCCATTTTTAAGCCGGCCGAAACCACGCCTAAGTTAAAAAAAAATGTACCAAACGTTTGAAACGACCACTTCGGTTAAGTTAGTAAAATGGTGATAAGCTCGGAAGGCAACTCTAAAAATTTATAAAAAAAACTACTTTTTAAAAAACAATTTTATTCAATTAGAGGTCACTATTATAATCAATTATATTCATAATCTTTAATTAAAAAAAATCATGGGTTGTCATTAATTTTTTTGTGCAAAACTCTAAAACTAAAAAAAAATCGAAAAATTTTATTCTTGAAAAACAATCATATTTTTATAGTTCTAAAATGCTGTAATTATTTTTTTCGTAAAGTAATGCTTTGTTTCATACTTTTTATTTACCCGGTATATTATTTTATAAAAGAACAAAAGTAATTTAGTTACACACAGAATGTAAACTGATTATCCAAACTAATGGAATTTGAGATTTTTTAAAAAATACAGAATTCGACAGAGAGTCTCAATTTATTGCTAAATAGTAGTATGTTTTTATTAGTAATAAATGTACAAAAACATTTTTTTCTACTTTAAGCTGCTTTTTTATAGACAACAGAAAGATCCAAAAAAGTTGATTTTTGTACGATCAAAATATGTTGCCAAAAACTAAAATTACTTCCTAAAATATTACTTACAAATTTTACATTTTTGCAAATGGTAAACCTTGGTCTACGCATTTCTTTAGTGATCAAAACCTAAAAACCTGTTATTATAGTTTAGATTTGTTAAAAATAACCCTTTTTGGCATTCTCCGGTCAGGCCTATTACAATTTATGTTTCACTTCAAAAAGTCTTGTTTTTAAGTTACATTTTTATTGATCGATTTAGCTTAGTTTAAAAATAAGACGAAAACATGCACTTTTTAAAAATTTATTACACAAAAACTAAGACATCTAAAAATATTTTTTTTACCACCGCAAAGAAGATACGAGCTATAAGGTTGTAATATTTTTTTAGTGTGTTACATTTGCAAAGATAAAAAAATTAAGGCGTTTGTTAAAAAAGTTCAATAACTTAAAAAAAAATAATGGAACACCCTATTTATTGTGTTTGCATTTAAAAGATTATTAAATTGTCTTTCTAAAATTATTTACTTTTTTTTTTACAAATTTGTGTTTTTTTTTTTAATGAAATACCACATGTTTCTTAGAGTTTTTCCTATAAGGTTATAACATTTTTTTAGTGTGTTGCATTTCTAAGATAAAAAAATGAAGGCGTTTGTTAAAAGTTCAATACCTTAAAAAAATTAAATGGAACACCCTATTTATTGTTTCTACATTTAAAAGATTATTAAATTGTCTTTCTAAAATTATTTACTTTTAGGTGTTTATAATCAATAACTAAAAAGATATTTAACGTTAAACATTAAAAAAAATTACTATTGTTTCAGAGCCAAAAAGTGCACAGTTGCACAAGACATGGAAGAAATATCACTTAATAATCACATTTGTGTTAAACTGAATCCATTATTCTTTATTTTTACAATAAAATAATTCGAATTTCAGTATGTACAGCGACTTTTACAATCTCTGGATAAACCAAGGGATAAGTGATTTGTGGTGGAATTACTATGGTTGCCATAGTATCAACAATATTTCAAGAGACATTGTTACTACAATTAATTATGAATGTTAAATATCTTTTCATTTATTAATTCTAGACATTAGAAGTTTATTTTTTTTAGATAGACAATTTATCAATATATTAGATGCAAAAAAAATAGAGTGTTCCATTTAATTTTTTTTTAAAGTTAATACCTTTTAACAAGCTTCTTAAATTATTAATCTTTACAAATGCAAAACACTAAAAAATTGCTACAGCTTTAAATTCTGTACTTTCTTCTTTGCAGAAGTAAGAAAAAATGTATTCTAGCTGTCTTAATTTTTGTGTAATAAATTTTTAAAAAAACGTCTTATTTCTAAAACTAAGCGAAATCGACTAATAAAAGTTTAGCGTAAAACCATTGTTTTAAAAGGCTTCATCCAAAAATGCAAAGAAACATACGGTGTTTCATTTAAAAAACCACAAGTTTGTATCGTAACTTATTTTTTGGATGAATGAAGTATGGTTTAAAATAATTTTAATTAGGTGATGCACTTGATTAGTATCCATCAATGTCCCATACAATTTTTTTTAAATTTTACCATTTAAAGATCACTAATGGATTTTTTCAACTTGCTGGGACACCTGTATGTACGTAGCATATAGAAATGATTTTCAAAAACTTTTGCTTCGCAAATTTACCTAATACAAACCTGTTGGTTTTCTCGATTCGAAGTATGATAAAGGTTTAAAAAATGTGTAAATCTGGATTAGATGAGAGCAGCTCTTCAATAAGAATAACTTTCGAGTTCAATAAATAATGACTATAATGAGAAATAAAAAAGCCTATAGTACGTGTGCTTATTGGCATGTTGTGGTTCCTAACTATTGATTGTAAAATATACTCGTATCTTACCTGTTGGAACCTCGTCCTTCTGTTTTTCGGAAGAGGTGAATCGTTGAGACTAACTCTACTCCCTCTATCCAGAGGCCCAAACCCTCTGAAGGCTTCCTCCATCGGCGACGTCCCCAAACTCCTTAAGGCCGTATCCCCCGAAGCCGATTTCTTCACACCCCCTGTTCTAGCTGGTGCTGGCGCCGGAGTGACCGGACTGTTATCCCCGCTCTTATCCAACGGATTCACATAAAGATTACTATCTATTACACACGAATGATCAACGATGTCTGATGTGAGATCTCCCTGAGAATTGAAAGGGTGCGTTGTACAACTTGCAAACGTGTCCGAACTATCCATGCTGGCCAATTCGCCGTTATTATTGATGCTGTTCTTTTGCTTGATGTCCACCTCTCCAAAGTTGTTATAAGCTTGCTCTGCTTTTATCGTCCTCATTTCCAGACAGACGGGATTGCGGAAGTCGCTCGTCGGCAGAGGCATCAAGTTTTCCGCGTCAACAAACTCTTTGAAATCCTGGGGGGTTTGTTTGAATTAGCTTAGTACATAGAGTTAGATTTCATGGTCAACGACAAATACGAAATGAGCTCGAAGGCAAATGGACCAGCAGCGACGCATTTACATATACAGGGTGTTTTTTGAATATTAATTATTTGTTTATACTTACGAGATAAACATAGTAACTTTTTTTTTAATGGAAACCTACGACAATTTTTTTAGGCAACGAGTTTGTTACAAGAATTGTTGCTGTGCAATTTTTTTTTTGTAAACCTCACACTTTTTTGTTAAAAAAATGGTTGACTTACAAGAATTCAAGAATTTTTTTGGAGTAAACTACCAGTTTTTTTTGGAAATAAATTAATAAATGTTTAAAGGTTGTAAAGGAGCAAATTTTTTATTTTAATTAATTGTTTAAGCTTTTGAGATTATGATCCTAATAATTTTTTTCTTAAATAAAAACGGTTTTTTATTTATTGTTTTACAAAGATATGTTTATGCATTTTATAAATGTATAAAAATAGTTACTAAAAATGTTACAATTTATGTTAAAAAAATTATAAACTTTGTCTGTTGTCAAAACTTTCTTTTAAGTTAAACATTTTTTTAACAAAAAAGTGAGAGGTTTACAAAAAAAAAWTTTGCATGGCAACAATTTTTGTAACAAGCTCGTTGTCTAAAAAAATTGTGGTAGGTTTCCATTAAAAAAACAATGTTTATCTCGTAAGTGTAAACAAATAATTAATATTAAAAATTTTTTTGAATAGCATTTTTATAGCCATTGCACACCTATAAATTTATTTGCCAAAAAATTTGATAGTTTCCAGGCTTTTGGAACATCCTGTATTTTGAAACGATTCAGTGAGGTAATAGACCTTAATAATTTTATTAGTGGAGTAA